AAGGTTCATGTAAAATATGGCCGTAACTGATTTGCTATTACACTAGCATGAATTTGAAAACCTCCATTTAATACATTGATTTATATTTTTAAATCATACTATCTGTATTTCTCGTACAAATAACATTACTGGAAAAGCGTTAATATGACACAGGTCCGAGTGCGTTCTAATAGTCTTTATATAGAGGGATATGTATCAGAGATGTTATACCCTTAAAGAGATATGCACATCCGATAAATTGCTAATGTTTCATTGAACACAATGCAATGTGCCAGGTAAATGTAAATCCTTATGTGCTAAAATTCAATAAAATATGAAGTAAGGAAAATTGTTATGTAGACAGCATCTAGGTTAATTTCTACATATTCCTAAATATATAATCCGTATCAATTTTATTTGCTAATTTTAATTCGTAACTGCGAAAAAAACTTCAAGCCCGCATACATAAACAGCTCAATGGTATTTTTGAGTTACTAGAGGTATTGTTTTCCAAGACTATTTAAATGCATTCGAGTCGGAATAAATCAATGCTGCAGTTGTTGTATCATCCTCAACGCACATGCACTACAATATTTTCTGCGGATTCTCAAAAATCTGTTTGAAACAGTTGGATTACACCAAACAATAACGTTTGGTAAGTTTGTTTAGTATTTCAAGGGGAACATTAAGTTGAACATTCTGGCTGACAAAAGGGAACACACCATTACACATTATGGTTAACAGGCATGCTGAGTAACTTTTCAAACCGCAGTGCTGTTGTCTATAGTTATTCAAATGACCTTGCAAGTATTGTGGTGAAAGAACAGATAATGCCATCAAGGTCACAGAATAAATAAATATGACCTTACCTGGTGGCTCATGTAACATATCCAATTGTATGCTTGAACTTCCTCTGTTGATTTCATGAAGTGCTCGGCTGCAGCGAGGTCCAATTCTGCCTGTTTGAACCATTTCCTCTGTTGCACTGGGTTAGAAACAGGATCACTGTCGTGATAATACGATCCACGGTAGCCCCCCCTCGATGACTCTTGATAGCGTTCTCTTTCTCTTGAACAATGCCGATCGACGTCATCATAGAACTGTCTGTTTGGGGTAGGACGAGACTGAGAATAATCAGAAGCATCCACATCATCATCAACGCTAACAGGATCACCATTAGTAAGTCTGTCCCAAACTAGCATGATATACTGAAACACGTCTGTAGCTTGTTCCTCATTGCCAATGTTCTTGTCCGGATGCCATTGCCTCAGGTATCTCTTAAAGATTGCCTTCTTTTCCCTATCGGGTAAGGTCCATATCGTCAACAGCTTCCTTCTGACCTCTTTGAAGATGACTTGACGAGGTAATGTGTTAGTAGAACTGTTGTTAGCTACGTCAACTGCTTGGACAAGTTCTCGTGAATCTGTCTTTTTGCGGAGAATTTTGTAGATATCATACGCAGATGTGATAAGAAATCTGCCCTCTCCAACATAGACTTCATACTTGGACAGTTCAGTTAACAACTTACCCTCTATAACACAACTAATCAGCTTCACTATCTTTGCATATATATACAAGTCGCTTTCTTCCCTTGAATATATTACCTCTTCGGAATCCTTTGCCTCTTCATCGTGTAGCTTTAGAGCGACATACTCATCTTGGTTAAAGGTAAATGTAGTGTTGTCCAACATGTGATACCACTTCTCATGAACATAAGTGCCACAAACTGGGAGAAAACTGTCCAAAAGTGACTCACTTATGTGATAATCTAGGTAATTTTCTTGATCCAAAATGGAAGAAATTTTTTCCGGGTGATCCATTTTTATGAGAATTTTTAGTATTACCGATTCATGTCTGAAACAATCAATGTTTGTGGAATTCCAAATCNTATATTTAATAGCCAATCGACCTTTTCCATTTCCTCCGAAACTTTCGTGTAAAAGTTCCATTTGAGTTCCTGCTGGTCGTTGTTCTCCGTGTTAACATGACTGAAAATATCTTTACTGCATCCTACAACTTCCTCTTTGTAAACATATTCAACTTGTAAGTCTTTTACCTCCAACACTTTGATTTTCTGTAGGCCAGACACCACATGACTTTCATTGACTTTTCCAGTTCTTGTCAAAGATTTTTCAAATCTGTCATGATGTGAAATTCGTAAGAGTCCCTCAACAAACTCAGGCCTTTGAATGAACTCTTGTAACTGATTTGTAAGACGTCCCTGCGTAACTTCCAAAGTTGATACATCTATCCTCTCTCCAACCATTTTAGTCAAAATAAGCGGTCTGTATTTGGCAGGTAATTTTTCTATATCACAGTAATTAAAATCCAGCTTCAGAGATTGGAAACCTACAAAGTAAGGTAAGCCTGCTTTGTTCCCTATTGCTTCATAGAAAAGCTTGTTGTTTGAGTAAATCATTTTGGTGGAATCCCTTAGTTTGTAGTCTTTGGTTGGAAGATACAGGATTGGTACCTGCAAACATGCATCATTATTGTCTGTCGTACACTTCAAATGTGAAAACAGTCCACGAATAGCTTCCAATACAGAGTGTCGCTCGTTAGGATGCAGTTCTTGGTCACTCACATCCTGAGTAATTCGCTCCAACACTCTAGCATACGTTGCACATGTAGGTGTCTTTTCTGTACCAAGCTTTTCAAATAGTTCAAAGTTTGCACCAAAATACCTTGGAGCTGAGTACAGATATGGTTTGAGTTCTTGTCTTTCTTCTAAATGAATAACAAGAACTCCACATGTCACAAATATTTTTTCAGAAGGCAGATACACAATAGGTTTCTGACGAAGACGATTACAAAGCGAGTCCTGCTTAGCTCCATGTTTCCATAAATATTGATAAATGTCGGACATAAGACTTTTCAAGTATTCATCCTCGTTTTTCCAGACCTTCGTTTCGCATTTTTCTTTTAATACATCACATATATTTTGTGTGTGCAAGATGACTTTTTCCAACGGTGGCTTTTCCAAGCACACCTGAAGTTGTCCTGCCACCGCGTCTGTTTTTTTCCTATTAAATCCTATGAATGGATTAGCCATTTTTGGCAAGATGTTGCAACTACTCCAGACATATTTGGTGTACCAGTCAGGAACAGCTCCTTCAAATGCCATCAATTGTCTAGCTTCATATTGTGGGTATATGTTTTCTTGTGTCCAGGATATTTTTGATGGTACGATGAACTTAATCGTCCGAATTCTTGAAAGCAAGCTACTATCAACCAAATTTTCAATTTTCCAGATGTAATCCAGCAAAAGTTCAGACTTTTCCAACACCGTATCTGTGATTTTGTGTCTTCCTTCTGCTTCAATCCGATGAGCAACTTGGATTATCAAATCATTTGATGCTTGCTTGACCATGCCGATGAGTTCCATAAACGACTTCCATTTATATTCAGCATATGGTGCCACTGGAAATATATTGCACATTGCCCGAAGGAGGGGGACGTGAGGACTATATACTTCAGAAGCTCGTTTTAATCCTTCTTTTTCTGTTTCAAAAATGCTCAATTCCTTTAGAGAAGCAATTAATTTATGTGGGCAGGAAGCACCAGGACATTTCCCTCAATCTCAAGAGATACAAGCTCTCCGTAGACTGTACAATGCAGTGGAAGTGACTTTATTTTTTTCCTCCAGTCATCAAGCTTTTGAACATCCCCGATATGATCCACAAAATACTCCAAAATAGCATCACAGTTCGTCTTTGAGAGACTTTGAAACCTTGACTCGTAGCGGTGTAGGTAGAGACAGTTTAACACCAGAACTGGCTTTCTGTGATTTGGTATCAGTGATAACAAAAGAGGGGACTGTAATAAATCTGTGTCAAAAACAGGAAGTGCAAGTTTTCCTAGTGCATCCTTCAAGTTACCTGTAAACGATTCTAAATTCAATACTTTGTCAACATTTGACAACGATGACAGTACTTTCCTTTTTGTTTGACAGTTATTTATCGTTTCCAAGAGTGTACAAGGTACCAAATTCCAGTGAGCTACAACCATCAGATCCTGAGGAATGGTCTGAACGCCTTCACTGTCGTCCGGAAAAGTTTCATCTGCTTCATCTTTTCCCTTCCATTTCTTCAGCTGTTCCGCAAAAAAAATCCACACATCGCAGATCCATGATGAGTGGGGAATGCGTTTGTTATCAGGCAGGAAAGTAACCATTTCCTTTGGATTCCTAAAAATTTCTGGTGACAAACTTTCTGCTAAGTAGTTGGCAAATGAAGGAATATCAAAAGATTTAAATACTTTTTT